ACCTGCGTGTTTACATTTTTTGGTTTTTGAATATCTATTCGAGAAAGGTTGTTTAGAAGTTTTTGATATTTTTCTTGGCTTACAAAACGTTAGTCGACCAAAAATGGGACAAATATATACAATATCTACAAGGCTAAAATATTTACACTGTAAATGGCCGGAAAAACGAACGGGCTTACGCACCTCCCGACCACGGCAATTGGTCGTGGGAGGCCGCGGGTTAGGTTCGGAAGATATCGGGACGGTTGAAGCTTGTAGACCGAGATCGTGGTCTGGTGGAACTGCACTAGAATGCTGTAAGCTGGTGCGGTGCGTTGTGACGTTGCACGAAACACCACTAGACGAAGTAGGCGAGGGGTTTTCTTCCATAAAAGCGGATTTTAGACGGTCGATGGTGACGACTTCGTGCCGAATACCGCGGTCAATAGGGTACGCCTTACTAGCACGATGTAGCACCTTGAAAGGTCCTATGTACGGCGAATGCAGAAGCTGTCGAAAACCGAGGGCGTGAAGTAGGACGCGTAAACACGTAGACAGCATCTCGGGCACATACACTGGTGTCTTCTGCGATCGAGGAGCGGGTGGACGTAGCTCATGCATCTGTTGAGACAATCGAGCAGTGTAACTTCCGTCGTTAAAAGTGGAAGTAGAGGGGGCTAGTACAACAAGCTGTACAGGCAACCACAGCGTGCAAACCTAGACAAACACGCTGGTGTGGCGTCGAAATCGGTTTTAGCTGTGTTTCTTAAGCCTAGGAGAACGAGGGGCAGCGTTTCAGACCATGAAGGCTCTGCGTGCGCACCTATCGCTGCCTTCAACTGACGGTGAAAAAGCTCCACTACGCCGGTAGCGGCCGGATGTTATGTGGTCGTCTGCACGTGGCAACAGCCTACCTCCTTAAGCAACGTGGCAAATGTTGACGAGAAATATGACCCACTAGCTGTGGTCACGATGGCGTGACGGCCGTACTGAGTTAACCAGCGCTCCCAAAAAGCTTTCGCTACTGTTTCCGAAGAGCAGTTAGGTAGGGGAATAGCTTCCGGCCACCTAGTGAACTGATCGATACAGGTCAGTAGATACACCTCGCCTTTCGAAGGCGGCAGAGGACCTACGAGTTTGACGTGCACGTGATGAAAACCTGCGTCTGGCGACTGAAAGGTGCCTACTGGCCCTCTCGTGTGCTTGCGCATTTTCGCGCGATGACACGGAATGCGCGAAAACGAATCGTGCGGTTACGAGTTGAGCCGAGGCCCGAACGCTGGATGTGACAAGCCATGCAACGTGTCAAACACGGTCCGCTGAAACCCGCGTGGAACGACTGAGCGCGGCATGCCCAGATTTAAATCGCAGAGTATCGTTCCGTCTGCTGATGTCAGCGGAACAAGTCGCATGTCCAAAGAGGAAGACCTGCGCAGTAGATCAACCTCCGGAGCGTTGTGTTGTGCTGTGACGGTTGCTGCCAAATCGATAGCAGTGCCGGCATCAGCGGAGATAGCTTGGATGCGGGAAGTGCATCGGCGACGGCGTTGTGCACACCTGAGACATGCCGTATATCGGTCGTAAACTGAGCGATAAAATCAAGGTGGCGCGACTCTATAGGACAGTATCGGTCGGTATTCCAGTCAAGCACGTAAGGGGTTTGTGGTCGGTGAAGACGATAAAGGAGCGGCCTTCTAAGACTTGTCGAAAGTAACGTATCGCTAAATACACGGCTAGTAGTTCTCCACCGAACGCGCTGTAGCGAGATTCCGTTGGTTATAGGCGTTTGGCGATAAAAGCTAAGGGCTGTCACGCGTGGGCTACTCGTTGATGCAAAGCAGCGCCGACTGCCACGTCCGAGACGTCAGTACTGAGTGACAGTGGGGCGGCCGGATCATGAGCCACTATAGAAGCTATGTTGGCGATGGACTCTTTCAGCAGCGCTTGCTGCGGTAGAAAATTAGAATTTCTTGAGGGGTTGCATCAAGGAGGCGCAGTTGGGTAGGAACGGTCGATGAAAGTTGACTAGCCCATCAAAACGCCTGAGCTGCTTGAAAGAATGAGGCTCGGGGTAGTCGATGATGGCTTGAATTTTATCCTGCAGTGGCACAGCGCCTGCAGAGGAGGTACGATGGTCAAGGAAGTTTACTGAGTGGACACCAAACTAACACTTTTCTACGTTGATCGTCACCCCGGGTTGAGATAAACGATCAAAAAGTGTTCTCACGTGGCGCATGTGCTCTTCAGGTAAAGAGCTTGCGATTAAAATGTCGTCGAAATAGGCGCAAGCGAAATCTATTCCGCGCAAAACTTGGTCGTTGAAGCGCTGGAACGTTTGCGCGGCATTCTTTAGACCGAATGGCATGCACGGAAACTCGAACAAATCAAATGGAGTCGTCACGGCAGTGTTAGCAATGTCCGCTCCGGCTACCGGAATTTGGTTGTATGCGCGTACCAAGTCGATTTTGCTAAATATATTTTTACTCGCCAGACTGGCGGTGAGATCCACTATGGGTAGCATCGGATTGCGACCAGGCGTAGTAACTGTATTCAAGGTTCGAAAGTCGCCGCAAGGACGCCAGTGCCCCATGACCTTCTTCGGGACCATGTGCAGAGGCGACGCCCATGGGCTGTTAGACGGTCCAACGACACCGAGCTGAAGCATGTGGTCGAATTCAGCTCGTGCTGCACTTAGTTGGTCTGGGGCAAGCGGTCTTGGTCGTGCGCTAATTGTCTGACCACGCGTGACTATGTGATGAGTGACCTCTGTCGTGACTGGCAAAAGCTCTGCAGCTGGTCATACCAGTCGCGGATATTCAGACAGTAGGTTCGCACAATCTGGTTGTTGAGTTTAATATAATGTCAGGATGTTCACTATCTTCAGGAGCCGCCTCAAGAGCTGGTGAATCCTGAGAAGCTGTACCATTTATGCAGTCGTCTGAACGCACGTTTATTCATAAGTCGAAGTACCAGGGGCGCTGGATTGCTTTTTGGTACAAACAACAGGACGTTCGTTAGACGGGAGCCTATTTTCTTCCTTGGAAACTGACCTGGCCTGAACTCCTGCAAGTTCAGAATCAGAATCAATCAGAATCAAGTTATTAGGAGAATAAAATAGGGATCTATGTGATTTCCATCATAAGTAAAGCAAAAATGACCCATGCCAAATATGGGTCTGTGTGAATGCACATCAATATTCGTTTAGTAATAAGCAAACAAAATACCGATATATAAGCACAAAGAAAGCACTACGTGCCTTGGTCTTTTAGGGTTGCTAGGGTAGCCGTGACATAACCACTCGACGAAAGGAGGTCAAACATGGCGTCTGCACCGAAACACAAGTCTGAAAAATGTTTGTCAATGCTTCGTTTGAAACACTGCACTGAATCAGAAAGAACAACGGAACTGGGCAACCAGTTTCAGAAATGTATCACGCGTCGCGCGAAACAATGAATATGAGTGACATTGTCCACATGTGGAACTTCCAGCTTGTAAGAATGCCCTCGGGTGATAGGTGCATCCACAATACAGAACATAAGTCTCAGGTAAGGAAAATGTCTCAGGTGAAGGATTCTGAACGTTGTAATGGGATCAATTCGTAATCTCCTGTATACTAGTGTATGGAGACGTAAATTGTGGCACCTCCGGTGGTAAGATAAGCCTCGGAGCATGGGGATCAGGCGGGTGACTAGGTGCTGGACTTTTTCCAGTCTTCTGATCTCACTTTTTGTACTTGGATAATAGGCCGGTGCCCCGTATTCTAAAAGCGGACGCACCATGGAGACGTATAGCCTGACAGCAATTTCCTCCGACCAAACGTGGAAGGTCCGCTTTAATGACCAAAACATGCGAAGGCCGGAACCGTAGACCTTGTGCGTATTGTCTGCCGATTTTAAGTCAGATCGGGATAGTACTCCTAGATCTCTAACCGTCGCAACCGAGCACAGTAGACGACCACCGACACTGTAAGTTCTGTCCATACAGCACTTGCCAATGCGGAGCAATTCGAACTTTTCAGCTTTCAGTGGAAGGCAGTTTGTTGATGCCCGTGAGGAGATTGTATCGAGATCACTTTGCAGTATATCCTCATCGACGGGGGTCGATATTTCCCTCCAAACTTTCAAATCATCTGCGAACAGCGCGCAAGTAGATGTCAAACGTCCTGGTAAGTCGTTGATATGAAACAGAAAAAGCGTTGGGCCAAGTACTGTGCCCTGTGGCACACCACTAGAGGCAGTACACCATTTCCTTCGGTAGTCCTTGACCTGGACGCACCACTGCCGCTTGTCCAGAAAAGACTGAATCCATTCCTTTGAAGGATGTTTGTGCGTAACGGAGTTTCGTAGAAGACAGAAGTCACGATTAAACTCTACACGAAAATCTGCCTCGACGGGGAATCGAACCCCCGTCCACGAATTTCTGGTCCGCTGCTCTACCACTGAGCTACCGAGGGCTGACGATTTGGTGCGGATTTTAACACGTGACTTCCGCTTGATGCGCGACGTATTGCCAATGAGCTCACAGTAACCGTCCTGATGTTGCAGATCGGCTCACTCACTCATCACGTCCCAGTGGACCGCAGTAACTGTCCATCCGAAGTCCAAAGGGCGATGGTAGATTAATTGATGTTTGTGAGTAACGAAGTTTCGTAGAATGAATCCATTTCAGCAATTTTCCACCCGCGCCATAACTGTTGAGTTTAGATAGCAAGATAGAGTGATTAACTCTATCAAATGCTTTGCTAAAGTCAATCAGCAAGGCATCAAGGCTCCTACCGTCATTAACTGCTTCAATCCAACTGTGTCGGCAAGTCAGAAGATTCGTGGTACAAGACCGTCCTCTTAGACTTAGTTCAGTTGGGGCCGGAAGGAAGTTTTCCTTTTGCTCTCTACAAACCAATGAACCAAGGAAGCCATAAGTCATTACAGCACTATTAAAAGCTTTCCACAGGGATCCACACAAGAAGGAAGTCTTTTGCGGCTTTTTAATTTTTCCAGTCTGGTCAAGTACTGGAACTTGACCTTGACCTATGTCGGTCAACCTCAGGGCCGTGTACTGGATGCTCGTCCCGTTCTCAATTTTCGCCTTCCTGGCTGTTTTTCCGTAAAGTTGTGCCGTTAGTTAAACTTACGTGCTTTATGAGTTATTGGAGAGGTTAGTTAAATTTGCCAGTCTGTGTTCTATCACTGCACCTCATTTTACTTGACTTAAAACATTTTATGCTTTTATAGTTGTCCGAAGAGATGAAACCGAAGGTGCAGACTATGGGTCTATGCATCTTAATGAAACCCCATCGCTTTATGTGAGTTATACCATTACCTTCGTGCTTCATCCTGGGATTAGCCCAAATGTGTATAGTTACGTGGTTGCTACGTCGGAATGCAGCCTTGAGGTCACACCGTTGTTCTTCATTCGGCTAAACTGCCAGAATAGATTACTCACCGATTTTTGTTACTGTTGCTCACTTTGTTGCAAGTGCGTTCTTTATACCTGAGGCTCTATTAACACAGTTCGGCCGCCAGCTGTCTCATTTCGACGTATTGGGCACTTGCATTAATATGAAGGGAATAGGAAGGCAGATGACTTTATACTATGCCTTCAGTATGGAAAGTAAGGGATTGCATTTCCATTACAGCGTAGATATACAAAACAATTACTTTCAGGGTTGTTACATTGTTTTCTTAATACTACCTAAGAGACAAGTTCAAGCGGGACTGGAAAGCTAGGATTATCCGTGTGTTCCTTCTTTGGCGGGTCGTTGAACCAGGAATTGGCATACTTTGTAATACTGGTGAACCTAAACCAAAGACCGCATCACACCCTGTCCAACTCGGGCTTCGATCTGCTTTTACCCTATCGACCCATGTGGTGAACGACTGTAACTCCTTGCCTGATTCCGTCCTTAACGCGCATACTGCGAAATGTTTTAACGCTTTTTGGATTTATACTTCCTGAATTTACAAGGATTTTGTTATTGAATGCCGTTTCGCAATAACTTGCTATGTTTGGGAGGTGTCGGAGTTGACAAAGGACCTTCCTTTGGCTCTACATTCCATTGATTCAAAGGCACATCTGGGTGGAAGATGCGCTTGACCAGCACGTCTTGCCGAGCCAGATGTCGTCACAGCTACCGAGAGTGGACGTAGTCTGGGGTTAACGAATGACGCAATCAAATACGGGAGATGGCTGTTCTGACAACATTAGGAGCGAAATGGTTAGTCTGAGGGGAGGAAACAACAACAGATTTTTAATCGAGCCTTGACAACTTACATCTTGACTGCAAAGAAACTTTCTGACTTGGTGTGTGTGTGTGTGTGTATGAAGCGGTCAACGTGGTGTGGGTTCCCGTAATGGTAACGGTGAGCGTTTGCAACACCTGTGTGACGGTGCTCGCCTATTTCTTATGAGCCTTAACTTTGACACGGTACACGCAGGAGAGTGACATCGCGTCCACTACCCATGGACTGATATCACACATCGCGATCAGTTACAGCTGGTGAGGCTGTGTCCAGAATGGTCGCCCGATTTGGAGCACTAACTTGGACTCCGATCACGTTCTTGTGTGTACCGATCTGCGGGTGCGTTTCGGCGGACATCCGCAACATCCCTGTGAGCACATAGACGCCAAGCAAAGCCAGGTGTTCTGAATGTGTGTCAAAGTACGCTGGCACCTGGGCTGAGTAAACACCCAGTGAACACTTGTTGCACATTCGCCGGACCTTACTATCAGCAGGTATATATTCGTGGCAAACTAAATTGACAACTTGGATATCGGGTCTCTACGCAGTCTCTGAAACAACAGAATGCTCACCGACGTTCCAGTTGGAAACGCACACAATGCGACTCGCAAAGAACTCAGTGTAAAATTGCTTACTAGCCTGAAGACGTCGCGAAATCTGGTATCATTAAACGTCAAGTATGAAAACAGTCGCTGCCATTGGGAACCGTCGTAAGTTATTCCTTCCGATACAAGAAACGGGTGGCAAGGTATCTGATATTAATAAGACTATACGCGACGAAAGTGGACAGGTAGTCTACAACTTGACAGATCGCTTGGAGCGTTGGGCCGAGCGCTCTGGAAGGCAGTCTAATCAACCTGAGTTGTCTTCTTTTCGGGCATAGCTTGCCTTTCTTCCTGGACCGTCCCCTTAGATTCGCTCTCACACGCAGATTTCGTACATGAGATCAGACTGCCGCAGTACTAGATAGACATCTTTCAGCCCTTTTCCATTTCGGGGTATCACTTCTCATGGGTGGTCCGCATAACTTACTAGTAAAGCTGTGGGAGCAGGAGATTGTCCGAATAGACTTAGGTCGCTCCGTTGTGGGCCCAATTTTCAAAGGAGACTCACGTTCGGAATGCGGCAACCATAGAAGAATCAGTCTGCTCACAATTGCCCGTAAATTGTTTGGATCTATCCTCCACAGACTGATTAGTACCCGTGAAAGCTAGCTTCGTTAGTTTCGCCGAAGTCGATGATGTATTGACGACGCTTTCACTTTACGTCAGTTGTTGAACCACCGCCATATTTATTGGTGCCCCGTCGTAGTCGTGGAGCTGTTCCCTAGTGAGCGACTTCTCGATCTGGCCTATCCCAACGACACTGCACTAATCTGTGACAACTCCCTAACGTGCCAAGCAGCACTGGACAGATTAGCATTAAGTGCCAATCCTTTCGAAATATGCTTTGCATCCTTGAAATGCAAAGTCCTCAAAGACAGGGATGCACCCCTCTGCTGACCCTGGGTGGTGATCAGATAGAATCCGTTCAGAAATACAAGGGCTGCTGTGTTAGCGCCCGTGGGATTGAAAAGGATGTCACGAATCGTATATCAAAAGCTCGGGTCTGTTTTACCAATCTCCTTCACTTGTGGTGCAGGCTCGACATGAAGGGCAGAGTCTACAATGTAGCCGTTCTTAGAAGCCTGTACGGTTGTGAAACCTTGTCCATCAAAGACGCTTGTCACGTTTGACCATCGCTGCCTTCACAGTCTAACTCGTGCTTGCTGGGAACACTGCGTGGGCAATGTGGGTGCTCGGTGTCTGGTATTTGGTTCAGCAAAAGCGAGTGAACCGCTCAGCACCTTTCTATCACGCACCAGGTTCAGATGGCTGGGCCACGTGTTGTGGATGCCAGCACACTGACTCCCGCGTCATGGTTTGTTTGCGCGACCGGGGTGTGGATGGAAGAAGAGAAAGTCAAACCATGAGTTGGTCAAGAGGAGTGAATACTTTTGCCTCGAAGTTGGTCGATTGACGTCTCCCAACCACCGGCCTGGGGTCCGAAGGACAATGAAAACTTTGTTGGATGAATTTGTTGACCTGATGAAGAGCAACTCACAATGATTATTATTTAATTAAAAAGCTTTTCTATTCTCGACAACGCGAGGCATGCCTTTACAAGCTTGCTCTTATTGAGATAATCAAGTTTGCTCAAAAATGTACAAAAATGCAACATGTCCCCTAACTGAATGTATATGTATGGTATATGCACATGTAATTGTGTATGTGTAGCTGTTTAGCCTGTGCTTGTACATGCGCTGTTGCATTTTTGACTGTTTGTTGGCGTCCGTAAGATACGGATAGACAATGTTTGTGAGTTAGACATGATTATCCTGATACTTATGTGGTATTGACTCGTTTGTGGTGAGTCACAACCGCTCTTCTTTAGCTTCCTCAACGAACAACGGTCCCATAGCCACTGGATAATATAATATTTAGTACTATATTACTTGGTTTTCTTTACTTTTTTGCAGCCTGTAATGTTTGATATTTTATCTTTGCACTGCTGCACATTAGCAGAAGCGTACTTATCATCTGTTAACCTGTTTTGATGATGTGTGACGATGATGTTACCTGGTATGAAACGTCATTAACACCGCCTTTTTTCCGTTACGACCGTATACACAGTGGGCTGTGATTACTAAACTGCCGTTGGATGATAGGTTTGTGTGCCCCTAGCTTTTGAAATGAGACAAGTTTCGGACGCGAATCCGCAACTTTAGAGCATAGCCTGACATACGAAATGGTGCGTTATGACGCTTTAGGAATCGATTTGGGCTGAGCGTGGACGGTATTTGCCATCAGGAGAAGGCATTCTCTGAACGGGTAAGGCTCCGTTGGAAATTTGTTTGAGCGACCAAAATTCATCTGGTACACTGAATGGTCACCATCATTATACACGCTGGCTAGAGGTGGAAAATACCTCAGCTATTGTGCCGCAATACAAAAGAAAAGAAAAAGCATCTTAGTGTTAAGCCGGCTAAGTCAGCAGTAACGGGTGGACATCGTTCCGGAGAGCTAACAGCCAGCTATTATGCCGCGAAAAAATGTTGCATTATGCTTATTAAATGAGACCATGGTTGTAGGATAAAGATAAGCGGGAGGAGAAAAAAATATAACAACACAACATAAACGCTACCGAGTTCGGCTCCTAGCCATGTGTCTCCAGCCAGGTGCTTTCATCCATCTTTCAGACCCAAACCAGGGAACCGAGAGGCTCCAACTGAAGCCAACTTCGGAGTAAGGACACTGACGGTCAGAGACACCCAACTCTCACTTGGTGGCAATTAGTCACCCTTGCATACACCAGCCAGTCGCTCATGCTCAGTGGGAGTGCCTGCACACTAAGGACTGGCTTGCCGAACTACCTCCTCGTGGTGCCAATTGGGTGCATGGGGTGTACCCCGTTCGAACGAAGTGTTCGGCGACAGTGTTCCACCTCGGTGAAACATTGTAGTCCGGCAATTGTGCTGATTTCATGGGGAGTATTAGGCACCTGTTTGGTGATCTACCAAACAGAAACATTTAGTCAGTGACCCCCAATAGGCGCGGTTCCTTGCATTAGCCCCGCTGCGTTGCGGGCAAATTATTTATCCAAAGGTTCGGGGTGGAGTCCCCTAAGCCAACTCCCTATTTCGGCTTGGGCACCCATATAGTATCACGCCCTCTTACAAAACTACGCATTGTACTACAACGTGCTCATCGGCTACCGTTACTACTTCTTGCATTCACCTGACTTCATCACATGCCCGACTTATGTGTACAAAAATCTGGCTGCGAATCCGGTTGCGCCGCCAACCATGGAGTTCAACCTATGGCTCTCCCTCGTCGTCGATCCTCGTTCCCTCTGGTGTACTTTAAACTTCGGACAATCATGCAGATTGGACAACAAGCCGGCCTAGCGCGCACCCTAGGGTCCCTCGATATCGACGTATGCTGGCTTTCAGAAACCCAATTACAAGACCCCACCATTTTGCTTACATTGACATCCCTAACTGATCACGAAGCCAGATATCACC